GGGGTGGCACCTCGATTATGAACTTGTTTTAACGTATTATGTCAAGATGGGTTCGAAGCTGGCTTTCTTCATGTCAGATCGGCTTCCAAGATGGACTTATCTTGTCTCTCAAATTAATACACATGTACATCGAGTGACCCACTGTCTCTTCATAGTGACTCATACCTCTGACAAACGTGATACGCTAACTGGTTTGAGGTTAATTAATTAAACGAAAAGCCTGCAGTACTCGTTCACCTGTGAGAATCAGAATAAGGCATGCCTTTGGAGTGTATCTGACCGTTATTTGGCTTAGATATTTTCGTTATTACTAACACTTGTATGTACGGCGATAGCAGTGGAAAAAAACAAAGAAACAGCAGGGGAACTTGTTAGCCTGTGAGCTAAACGTAGTCGCTGCACTTGTAATTGTGGTTATGGTGGAAGTTATTGTAGCGAATGTACTGGTCAAGATTTCCTCACTAATTAAAAAAAAGATTGTGCTATTTAATGTCCCATTGCTTTGTTTTGGGAGTACAGGTACGGGTATTTCGTTGTTGCTATTATGCAGGAATATGGTGGGGGTCACAAACTAGATTGTTTTCAATTATTTCCCTAGACTTCCTTCGGTTTTATCGGAGAAGGATGGAAAGTCAAGAGGCCCGGCCTGATAAATAATTTTACCGTGTTTATAGTGACTTAATAGGGATGTTAAACACAAGATGCTGTAGATCTGCCTTCTAAGTGTAAAAAATCCCCCCTGTCAGCCCTTCTGCTAACATTATCTTGGTCGGTATAATAATTTGTTATGGTCAGATTAATCTAAGCGTACACCATGGCACGTATCATGGTCCAGATGGCTATGACTAAAGCAGAATCTGATGCAGGGGGACTCGCTTTGATGGAAAAGATGGGAACAGGAAACGAACGTGAGAGATTGATGGTCAGCGTGTTGGGATCGCAGCTCTATTGTACTCAAGGCAAGACCCACATCGAAAATAATGTTAATGTCGTGTGTCCTTGGTGTAATGATTTGGTTCTCTGCCATGAACGTAAAATACAATGTTCAACTCTCAAGTTGGAAAGATGTTTTTGTCTAGTATAGAAAGCAGTATAACTGCCGTGATGTATCCCATACAGTCCTGTAGGCCAAGACGAAGAGAGAAAACTGCTGTGTTACTCAGTTTAAATCAAAACAGTGTCGATGGGACAAAAGTCTATTTAAGCACCTTCACCCCCAAGAAATTTTAAAAAGAAAACTCAGAAGGTGAACCCCGAATGACAGCCTGAATGTTCACGGTAATATAATATGCGTGTTTTGCCTCCCCAAATGAAACTTCACAAAAGAAAAAAAATGTCTTCTAAAAAATCCACTTTGTGTAGATAATTCATGGTTTTGCAGTCTGCGTTTTGAGAAAACCTGCCTGTAAAACAATCACTTCTCAAACAGCAGTCGTCTGTTCTTTGTGACTCAATTTCCTGTTTCTGTGTTGGCATTCATTGTTTTTGTTTCATCTGTCTGTTTACGTTTATATAATACTTATTTCTTTCTGCTTTCTTCTGCTGTCTCAAAAACTGGTTTAAACTCTCATCATATCGTCCTCTTCATTTCTATGTGCTTAAACAAGAACACAAAAACCACTTTGCATGGTGCCTGCAATTATACACGCAAACCACAGA